ACAGAATCTGAAACAGGCTCTAGGCTCTGAGCTGTCAGTATGAACAGAGAGATCATGACCTGAGTTGAAGTCAGATGCTTAACCTACTGAGCCACCCAGGTGCCCCCAAAATAAAATAAAACATTTAGAAATGTAATAATAATTTTTTTTACTAATAATCAGAATCCTTTAGTTAACAGGGTATTTACAATGAAATATATCTTTAAGAAGATATACTGCTACCTTGTAACACTTCTCATGCTGAATGGAAATACATCTGTCAACCAAGGCAAGTAGTGAAAACAGTGCATATCTTTTTAAAGTTCAATACTGATAGTTTTACTATTATAAAGAAAATCATGAATTATCCTTCAACATAACTAGTTCATGTTAAAATATAGAATAGGATATTCTATATTTGGATGGAAGAGTGTGTTCTTCCATTTATATTTCTTGTTAGGCTCTTTATTGTTTGGAGTAACACTTACCTATCTACAGAAACTTCCAACTTGGGTTTGCAGACATTGTCTTCCCCACAGTCAAGTAAAATATGGGCCTAGAAAAAAGCATTTTATTTTTTCTATGTGAAAAAACACCAATACAGGATACATCTGCAGTGTAGATCAATATACGTGGATGTATGTGAATATACACATACACACATATATTTATATACACTCATCAAGTTATTTGCATAAAAGGTGTCATGGCTGCTTATTTTTAAACAGGTCGGTGTAGGTAGTCAAAAATGAAAAAGAAGAAAAACATTCATAGGATATAATACAATTAGTTGGAACCTTTCAGTTCTATCTCAACTTAAGCTGTTATGGTGTGGGAATGAAGTGTCGTGTAGAGAGAAAGTAACAGTCAAGAAGTGAGGATTCAAAAAAATGAGAAAGAAATGAAGATTCAGCGTGAACCTGCTGCTACTAGCTAACTTGTGTGATCGTGGGCAAAACAAATTTCCCTTTTAGAACTTCTTATTGCAGACTATGCCTCTGCCAGCATCCTGGAAATATGGGGGCAGAGTGTCAAAGAATAAGGAGCTACGGGTGCATGGCAGCAATTCTGACAGGCAGATCAAAGGTTTCAGAAACTGGACAAAATGAGGCCAGAATATGTGTGGCCACTTGGAAGGAGGTGAAGGAGAAGGGACTAGAAGCACTGAAGCCAACCCAGGAGGGGTGACATAAGCAAAAACTGAATTTTCTCCTTTCAGATCTGGCGCTGAGAGAGTGGAGGCTAGAGCGGTACGGAATGGTACGAAACACCCAAAAGACAAACACAGTGGGAAGTAGCAGAAGAGACTGGGTAGAGTGTGAATGAAGGAAATACAAAAACTGTAAAAAGAAGAAAGAGAAAAAGATGAAGCCATTCTTGGTTTGTCTAGTGTTAATATTCAAAGAGCTTCAAGCCCAGGGGCAGACAAAAAGAAGAGAGAAAATGACTTAAAGGGGGAAAATAATGAGAGGCTTCCTCTTCCAAATCACAAGGGATAAACAGCCACACGGAATAAAATTACATGATACAGATCTTAACTGCCAATTTAATTGGAATGAAACAACAATATACGTGAATTAATTAAATGACATAGACGTTAAGCAACTGCTATGCGCTTCAACAAAGGGGAAAAGGGGGAAGGGCTGGGACTATTACAAGAACTTTGTGGTGATTCCATAAGTCATACCAGATACAGTCATTGCCAAACTCGTTTAGGAATAAAAAGTAGATTTTGTAGATAATAACAGTAACTAGTGATATGGTGAGTATTAAGAGACCCACTCAAAATGATGAGTATGTTAGGTCTGGAATAAGAAATATGTATGAAATATTAATAATACTGTGGCAAAGGGATATTTGCCTAACTGCTACCATACACTGAAGAAAAAGGATTTAGCTGGCATTGGTGTAACCACAGTATTAAAGCTATTAGAAAAATAAGTTTCAGGGGCGCCTGGGTGGCGCAGTCGGTTAAGCGTCCGACCAGCCAGGTCACGATCTCGCGGTCTGGGAGTTCGAGCCCCGCGTCAGGCTCTGGGCTGATGGCTCGGAGCCTGGAGCCTATTTCCGATTCTGTGTCTCCCTCTCTCTCTGCCCTTCCCCCGTTCAAGCTCTCTCTCTGTCCCAAAAATAAATAAACGTTGAAAAAAAATTTAAAAAAAAAAAAAGAAAAAGAAAAATAAGTTTCAGAAATGGAAAAGCACACAGCAATGCCTTCCATTCATAGGGAACTAAATCTCTCTATATTTAACATCTTGCACAGGGTAAGAACTTAATCTACATTTGCACAAATAAATGGAGGGCAGGAAAAAAAAAAAAAAGCCACTCTTCCTACAGAAAGCACTCTGGTCTCTTAACTGCAAAGGATTAGGCTACAGAGAGGGAAACTCAACAGCTGCCCTGTCCATTACAATAGCCACCAGTGAGCCACATGTGGCCTCTGAGCACTTGAAAGGGGTCTCGGGGTAGCTGAGAATTGATTTTCAAATTTTATTCAATTTTAATTAATTTAAATTTAAATTTAAAAACTGATACTTAATTCCATTACTGGAAAACTGTTAGTATGTTAAAACAACTTGGGTATGTGAATCTACTTCTTCAACTATAAACCATATGAATTCCAAATACAGAAAAAATATTTAGCATCTGAATTGAGATGTGCTATAATCATATAATACATTCTGGATTTTGAAGACAGCAAAAAATAGAATATAAAATATTTCACTAACAATTTTTAAATGGATTATGTGCTGGAATGACAATAACTTGGGTATTGTTATGGGCTGATCTGTGTCCCCCCCCAAAATTCACATGCTGAAGTCCTGAATGTGATTTTACCTGGAGATACAGTATTTAAAGAGGTAATTAACATAAAATGATACCATCAGGGTGGACCCTCATGCAACACAATGTATAAGGAGATTGGGACAAGACACACGCAGAGGGAAGACCGTGTAAAGACGAAAGGAGAAGGTAACCATTTATAAGCTGATGAGAGAGGCCTCAGAAGAAACCAACCCTGCCAGACACCTTGGTCTCAGACTTTAAGCCTCTAGAACCATCAGAAAATAAATTTCTATTGTTTAAAACAAGCCACCCAATCTGTGGTTTTTCATGACAGCAGTGCTAGCAAACTTTATATTATTAAGTTTAACTGCACCTGTTTTCTACCTTAAGAAAATGTTGCCAACTAGCAAATTTAAAACCACAAATGTGGCTCATGTTAATATTTGTATGGAACAGCAGTACTCTATGGAGAAAGTGTGGTAAAACACGTCTGTAATATGACGAGTGAAATGAAGGACCCATCTTAGAAAGAAGTAAATAATGGGAACAAAGGATGGATAATTAACATAGAAACAAGATTATATAATAAAGCTAAGCATGCATAGAGAGCATGCCTCTCTTGTATACACAGGCACTGTTGAAACATACGAAGGACACAAAGGACACAACAATGAAGGAGAGCAGGAAGAGAAGGAAAGGAAGCTAACTATTATTATTAAAGTTATTATTTCTCTCCAAGGGTTTTCAAAAGTTATCCTACTTACTTAGGTAACTTTAAAACTGGATTGGTATTAAAGAGACTGATGATCTCAGTAAGCTACTCAAAAGTAATGTTAACGCTAACAATTCTATAATTATAAAGACAAAATAATCATAACTCCTATATCAAAACACATAATGTAAAAGGTCAAGTCACAACTTTTTCAAAAAGTATAAAACTGAATGACAGATCCTAAAAGGCTCAGATGTTCATTATTAAATTGTTAATTAACAAAATACTGTATATCCATTAAAAATAAGAAATTGGGGCGCCTGGGTGGCGCAGTCGGTTAAGCGTCCGACTTCAGCCAGGTCACGATCTCGCGGTCCGTGAGTTCGAGCCCCGCATCAGGCTCTGGGCTGATGGCTCAGAGCCTGGAGCCTGTTTCTGATTCTGTGTCTCCCTCTCTCTCTGCCTCTCCCCCGTTCATGCTCTGTCTCTCTCTGTCCCAAAAATAAAAATAAAAACGTTGAAAAAAAAAATTTTTTTTTAAAAAATAAGAAATATACACAATATGAACTAATAAAGAACTACATTTTCAAGTTCTTTATTGCTGGTGGCAGAAAGTATATATATACATTATATATGATACAATGTGTACAAAGTAAAAAATATAAATTGTTAAAATATAAAAATAATTGTTAAAATATAAAATATAATAAAAAATAAATATATAAAAATTGTTAAATAATAAAGACTTAAAATATATTTTAATTCGCTTTATGTTGCCTTACACAGTCTTCTCAAATTACAAATAAAAAAGCATGAGACCTTAGTAACTTAGACAAAGAAGATATAACAACCTAAATTTAGGGTAAAGTATTCTGTGGGAGTAGAACTATTAATCTAACAGTATAAACATGCAATAAAAAAGCGGAAGAAATAGGAAATGCAATATCTGAATACATGGGTTTTACACAGGACTTTCTTAAAAATATTGTAATATAGTCTTTAAGAAATTTTGTTTGATTTGATGAAAAGAATGACTTCCATACTACATATACATATGTGTATACATATGCTATTTTTTACAATTAAAATGTAAATCAGAGAAAACAGAGATATAAAACTTATTCAGCAAAATACTAAAATAGTATATAAATACATTGGCACTTTGTTTTCCTTGAACTATTTTACTGTTTTATGAATATGACCCTGTCTTTCTCTACATATAACTAAGTTCTGAGTGGCTTCAAATATCTCTGACCTGAAAATTCAGATACCTTCCCCTTTGACTTTGACTAGAAACCAACATTTAAAAAGCAATCCCTTATGATATTTAAAAATATGAAGTGTAAGACTTTAAAAGAATTAAAGTATAAAATTAGTGATAAGTGGAGATAGTACATACAGTACCTGTCGACTAATGTTGGCAGGAGTGAACTGGTTAAGGATAGGTTGCAAGCCTGTCACATCAGCAGCTGTTCTGTAATCCAACCGATACTCCATAAAAACAGTAATCGGAGTGAGTTTGTCTCTAAATTCAGATTCATCCTAGAAACAGAAAAGCGTCCAATCAATGATAACATCAGTCTACGACATCAAAGTATCTGGAAAAATCTGTAAGTGCACAGTACAAAGGCAGCCATGTTCGACCTTGATCCAATTCTACCAAAACTCTGAAAAACTACAATTATATAAGAGTAAGAATAGAATGTCCAAAAAGACTGGTTATTCAGCAAGGACGCTTAATCAATTTTTGTTTATAATACTTGATTCATACAAAAATATACAAGGGCATGTTAATAAAACAGGCACTCCACAGCCAATAGAATTAGAACATTACTAATAATTTTTCTAAGTTTATTTATTTATTTTGAGACAGAGAGGATGAGAAAGGAGGGAGAGAATCCCAGGCAGGCTCCACATGGCCAGTGCAGAGCCCAACACAGGGATCGAATCCATAAACCAGGAGATCATGACCTGAGCCGAAACGAAAGGTCACATGCTTAACTGCCTGAGCCACCCAAGGTGCCCGAAATATTACCAATAATTTTTAAGTTACCCATGTACTCCCTTCTCATTTCTTCCCTCGGCCTTTCTTCTCAGAGGTAACCACCATTCTAAATTTTAAGTACACCATTCTCATTTATTTTCAGTAGTTTTACTCCACTGTATATGCCCTTAAACAATGTGTTCTTCTGTTTGCTTTTCCTTTTTTGTTCATTTAAAAGTGAGGTCATATGCATTTTTCTGTAACTTGCTTTCTTTTTAATAATTTTTTTTAATGTTTTTATTTATTTTTGACAGAGAGAGAGAGAGAGAGAGAGAGAGAGAGAGAGAGAGAGCATGAGCGGGGGAGGAGCAGAGAGAGAAGGAGACACAGAATTCGAAGCAGGCTCCAGGCTTTGAGCTGTCAGCACAGAGCCCAACACGGGGCTTGAACTCACGAACCGTGAGATCATGACCTGGGCCGAAGTCGGACATTTAACCGACTGAGCCACCCAGGCGCCCCTCTGTAATGTGCTTTCTATTCAACATTCTTGTTAAGGTTTATCCATCCTGTTGCAAGTAGCTGAGGTTAATTTTTACTATTAATATTCATCATATAATAATAAAACCATAATGTATTTATCTATTCTCCTATCAAAGGTTATTTGGATTGTTTTTGTTTTTGCTTTTACCAAAAAAACAATGAATATATATAGATATATTCACATATACGTGTGTGTGTGTGTGTGTGTGTGTGTGTGTGTGTGTATTCTTCTATATAATGGCAAGTAGGAGGCTCAAGTCAGACCCCTGGCTTGCAAAAGTCCCAGATGAGTCTGAATTCCTGTGCCAGTGGTATCCGCAATTACTGTTCATCCTTCCCCAGACACTCTGGCTCACATATTTGCACACAAGTCACAAGTCAAATTTTGCCAATGTAGTTTTTTAACTGATTTTTTATTTTTATTTTTTTGGACTGTGGAGATTTATTTTATGTTTTGAGAGTCTAGCAATATTTAAGAAATAGGTTTGTTATAATTTATTCAGTAGCAATGTCGCAGAAAGACCAGTTGAAATATCCAGCTTGTCAGGAACAAAAATCCATTACTCAGGTTTGATACATTAAAAAGCTAAACCTCCTCAAGTGTATTCTTCTGTGTTTTCCTTTTGATTTAATACCCAAAAATTCACACAAAGTGAGAGTCATTTAGATGAAAAGGAAAAAAATTAGTAAAAAGTAAAAGACAATGAAGGAGAAAAGTATCTCTTACCCGCAGATATGCTATTAGTTCCTCACACTGCATCTGTCCCCCCCTTGAAATAGTCATGTTCTTGGAGTGACCTGGGGACCGGTTATGGAGAAATAGTGCTCGTCGAATTGCTCCTTTTTGCTTGAGTTTATCCAAAAGAAGCTCCACCTGGAAATCTATACAAAGGATTTATAACTAATATAATCGTTATGAACACCTCTCTGTCCTAGATAGCTAGAATTTTCATGTAAACAAAGATATTTATTCCTTAAGAAGCAATTTCCTTGTAATTCACTAAAAATGTGTATACATTGTAGTGAGACTACAACATATTAATCCTGAATATTTGCTAATTAATAATTAATCCAACTATCCCCAAAGTAAAGCCACATATTAATTCATACAATAGATAATGATGGTAGTAAAATAACTATCAGATGCAAGAGGAATTTTTTCTTTTAATTTAGGCCGAGAGGAAGAAGTTCAGAGCACGAAATATATGTGAATTACAACTCCCGCCATTAACACAAGTAGCAGCAATTTCCCACTGACTGCGATTAATATTTACTAATATGCACCCATATGATTCTATTAAACACTATGACAAATAAACAGTTTGAATCACCTGCAACTACTACTTTTAATGAAGCTACCATATCAGACTGTCAGATAAATATGTCCCTCGTGAAGCAGGTGACCTAATATAGTTGACTAGATCAAGAATTCTATTAAAGCGAACATGCAACCAATAGTCTGAAGCACAGTGTTAGGGTGACTTCCTTCTAAGATTCAGCTCTTCTTTAAGTAGTTTCTTCAACGTTAAAACCAAGTTTCTAAGTTTCTCTAAATGTTGAACCTCATGTTAACTTTGGGTTAAAACGCAGGGTGATTTTGCTTCCAATTCTGTTCTACCCACCCACACCGCTCTCCTTGTGTCTGTCAAACACACTAAGCATGCTCTTGACTCAGGCCTCTTGAAATTGCCATTTCCTCTGTGCAAAATACCCCTCCAGACATTCCCTACAGGTCTTTAGTCATCTTCCAGAGACCCCACCTTGCCACTCTATGTGAACTTCCATGCACACACACACCCAGCAAACTCAGTCCTCTTCTTCTGCTTTGCGGTGGCTTCTCAGCACTTGTCACTAACAATGACCAATTTTGGCTACAATTACTTAGCTCTCCTGCCTTGCTCTCTGGACCATATAAACCATATGTTGGAAAGGAAGAGTCAAGTTAGGAATTTGCCGTGTGGGTAAATTGGATGGCCCAAACTTTTTCTCCGTCTTCCACTATATCTAAAGCATTTCTGCTGCTTAGATTGCTGGGGGTTTCTCTGAGACATAAAATATGAACTTTCCAGTAGATCATCTATTTATAAACAATGATACCTATTTCCCCTAGAATTCATTTATCTCTCATTGGTAAGTGTTTAACTTTCTGAAGGCTATCTTTACCATTCAATGGGCTATTCTGTTCACAATGTCAACAAATAAATATGTATTTATATCTAAATTAAGAGTCAACAAGGTAATCATGCTGCAATGCTAGGTGCCTTTAAGCATACATATCCAAATAAAGAACAACGATAACAACTATTTGAGTAACTATTCAAATATCCTGAAACATTTTTAAGTGCTGTATATGCAGAATCATTCTGTAATTTTTCCATAGAATACTTACTAATTTTCGTGGGAAGTGCTCCTTTGCCATCTGCCTTTAAGCAGAACTTGACATTAAAACTGTAGAGAAATAAAAATATATACAAATCCTGTAATCCAGTTTAAACATATTGCTGAGTATCACCCCCAAATCTCATATTTCTAATGCACAGTTTATATAGTGAAGCCTTTTATATCTTTCTTCTTGTCATAATAACATTCTTGAAACATGAAACACAAAATACACAGAATGTCCTAACTCATCCTTCAGTAATTTAAGCACCTTTCCTTTCATGGTATCATCATTTCAAAAAAACAAACAAAAAAAAACAAAACAAAGAAAAAAAAAAAAGAATCTCTGAACCTCCTCTCAAGTTTATAGAATCTGTTGATAAATCTAAGTGAGAGAAAGGATGGGCCAGACGTAAAATAATCTCTTTTTTTTTTTTTTTTAAAGCCCCCACCAAGCTTCCTTTAATTAGAAAGCTCCTCTAGAACAGTGTTCTTCATGATTTCTTAATGGGTCATGAAATCAGTTCAGTGGGTTGTGTCAACCAATATCTTAAAAAAATAAATCAAATAAATAAAACTGACTGAAGGGTAAGATTTCATGGAACTTTTGTTTTAATTACACACATGTATTTACTGGATTATGATGCAAAATGTATTTCATACAATGTGCCATAACCAAAAAGATACAAAAGCTACTGCTCTGGTTAGTATATTCAAAGCTTTACAGTTATTAGCATACTTTTAAATATATTACTAGCAATTTCACAGGGGCAGGCAGGGTGATTGAAGGGAAGGCCATAAAACTTAAAGCTAAAATCTTGAAAACTTCACTGCCAATCAATATAAGATAAAATGTTACTAAATTTTTAATGCAATCCAATGAAAGAAATAAAATTTTGAAAAATGTTTTCTAATAACTATAACAATTTGAAGACAAAATCAGAATTATTTTTTCATTAGCCTCTTAGAAGTAAAATTTTCCCAGCTTCTAATCATTCCTCACTGCATCTGTAAAAGTTCTTTGATTTTTGAGTAACCAAGGAACTTAAAGAACAGTGTTCCCCAAAGTGAGGTACTCTTGGTGATTTTACTAGTATATGGGCCAAGGTTTTTCTTAATTTTATATTTATTTTGACATGTATGAGAAAGGTACTGGGGTTTCTCCATATTATTTTAAAATATTTTTAAGTAAAACATGAATTGATTTAAAGAAAAAAATTATTTTAATTATAAATACAGGTAGAATGTAAGTATAGCAAAAATCATACACTAGCAAAAAATAGCATGCAAATAATGAAGACTTGAGAAACACTGGACTAGAGAAGAATTCCGATATTAAACTTACAAAAAATTGTATTTTTCTTTAGAAACTAGTTAGGGGACAAGAAGAACAAGAAGAACAAGAAGAATATTATATTGGTAATATACTACTTATAGATTTAATATTATTTAACATTTAATAATATTTCATAATAATAAATAATGTATTTTTCATACAACTGTTCATGGGTCTGTTTAGAATCAAATAATAAATGAGTTCTGAGATCTTATTAGCTTTTTCGTCTTTTTGAATATATTCACTGAGCATGCATCATTTTTTTTAATGAAGTTTATAGTAGTTTGTAGCATATTTTTAGAGCCTTCTACATATCTACTCTGGAACAACATTTCCATAATCCAATCTATGAAAAGAGAGTAATACACACAGAAACTGTTCTGCAATATTTCAGCCCCCCCTTCATTTTCAATTGTTTTCATAATGACTGTACCAATAATAACAATAGTAAATATTATTAAACTAATGCCCTTACCAGGAAACTTTGAGATCTGTCCCAGGCAATGGGCAGGTTTTATTGTCTTGATTTAAAATGCTAGGGTACACTTCAAGGCCAGCATTTACAGTTATAACTGGTCTGGCCCTGGTTTAAAAAAAAAAGAAGAAAGAAAGAAAAAGAAAGGAAAGCAAAAAGTTATTTACAATATTAGACTGATCTAAGCATTTTAGGTTTACATTTTTTGTATATATAACGTTTTCTAAAGCATTGTTTATAACAGCAAAAGGAATAAAAACAATCTAAACACAGAATGACAAACTGTCCCTGTTTGCTGAAGACCGTCCTGACTTTAGCACTGACAGTCCCGCATCCTGGTAAATCCCGCAGTTCCAGGCAAAGCGGGACAAGTGGCCATCCTATCTGAACTCAGTCCACGAAAGCAGAATGGTTAACCACGTTGTGGGGTATCTACCTAACGCAATGCAATACAGTAGGGGAAATGAGTGACATAAATCCATCTGTGTGGATACGAGATGATCTCTAAGATATATCCAATATAATTTTTATATGACAGGAAAAAAACCCACCATGTACAAAGGATGCATACGCAAACACATACACATAATTTTTTAATGCACAGAATAATTCTGGTAGGGTATACTCATAAACTAGTAACTGGCGTGAAAGGAAGTATGTTATTTTTGTTTATGTCCTTTCTGATTGAGTTTTTACTACATGCATTTTACTATATGTATTACCTTTTAATAGCAATTTTAAAAACTGAAATAATAAATTAAAATAAATAGTTTTCCAAAGTTCAGATGTACAGGTTTAAGCCCTGTATAAAAATATAGTAGGCTCACGGCACTGTGCCTACTCAGTCATGATAAATGATTGGGCACACGTGGCCCCAAGAGCCACAATCAAGTTGACCCAACATAAATTCCATTACACAGAACTCAGGTTAGTCATTCTGGCATGTATAAACATAGCCCATAAAAGTGTAAGCATCTTCACCTACTTGGGATGCCAGATGATAGTCTAAAGCATGAGGAATTGATTAAATATAGAGAATAACTGAGAATATGGATGAAGCTGAGAAATACAGGTTATGTGGATTTATATATATTGCTCTAATAAAAATATTGATTTGGGAAGTCATTACATACTGCCCTGTGGTCACAGAATGCTGTGGGATAAACATCAAGTTAACTTCTTGCCTTTTAGAGGAAAATGTAAACTCATATAAATTTTAAAGAGAGATTTAAAACACAGAAGAACATCTTTGAACATAATTTAAAGAACAAAGAGAGAAAATTCTGAATGCATTTCTAAATAAAAAATCTACACCTTCTTCTGCTTTGGGATTTCCTTGTATAAATGCTGACTGAGCAAGGCTTGACTAGAAAGAACAAATTTTATCATTACTTCAAGAAAATTAAACTGAAATTCAAACAGTGGTAATATTCCTATTATTACAGGATATGGAAACGTGCTCACCTGTATAATACAGCTCTATCTACACCAAAAGCTCCTACAATTAAGTCTTAAAAGAGAGTAGAAAAACATGTAAATAATAATAATAATAATTTTTTAAATTCATATACCATTCTATAAAACTTTCAGTGCATGTGATAAAGATTTAGACATAGTCTCAAAACTATTCTTCATTAAATGGTTGTAAGATAGTATCTCAAAGGCAAAAACATATGAACTCTAAATACGGTATCAAATGGCATACACTCCACATAAAACTAATCTTTCATCCAGGGAGACAAGAATATTTTTAATGGATACTTTGTAAAGATGAGAATCTTTTTAAAGGGTACTTTATAAAAATTAGCAATAATAAGGAAGTGTGTATCACCCAAATGCATATACCCCTCAAAGGAAAAAGTTTTAGAAGTACCTGTGGATTTTACAATTTCACTGCAAAATTTCATTACAAGTCTAAATTTCATTATAAATTTTTCCCTTTGTTACAAAAACAAAACAAAACAAAGCACATTACATATACATAGAATACTTAGAAGGACAGCAGATAGCATTCAAATTAACAAGAACAGGGTGCATTAATTTTTGTATGCAGCTGGTACAATGGGTTCGTGATTAAGAAAATATGAAATAAGAGCTCTATTTCACAATATACCCAAGGTAAATCTGAGGAAACCCTTTCTAAGCAGACAAGTACATAAGGAACCATAAAGATGGGTAGATTGGATTACCTAAAAATTAAGAACTTCTTTATGCCCAAAAAGCAAATACAACAAACTGAGATATATATGTGTGTGTGTGTGTGTGTGTGTGTGTGTGTGTGTGTGTGTGTGTGTGTGTGTGTGTTAAGGGGTGACTATCCACAATATTTAAGACACTGTCCTAAGGGAAAAAAAAGAAAGGAAAACAACATCCCAATAGAAACAGAGCAAAAAAAAAAAAAGTAAAAAGGGAATTCACAAAAGTAAATACATATAAACAAAAATGCTTACCCTCCCTGATAATTAAAAACTATAAAGTAGAACAAAGTAACATTTCTACCTATCATATAGTTTAATATTATTTTTACAAAAACAACAGATGACCCTCAGTGTAGGCACCCAAGTGGGTAAATGATTGCTCATTCTGGTGAATGCTTAAAAAGAGCTGCAAAACCTTCTTTTTGAGGGAATGGGATTATAATTTGATGACATGTATCAACAGATTTTTTTTTTTTAAAGTGCCGTATCTTTGACACAGCAATTCTAGAATTTTGTCCTAAGGAAATAATCAGAGGTATGCACCAGAATTATATGCAAGGATATAAATGCCCAAAAATAAACTTAAGTAAGATCTGATACATTTGATAGAATGGGAAAAATATAATTCATATTTAGAAGAATAATTAGCAATATGGGGAAACATTTCTGATACTTTGAGTGAATAAAAAAATATGCTATTAACAGTGCCTAAAGTATAATTCTGTTTTGTTAAAGAACTATAATGAATGCATTGAAAAAATGATTGAAAGATATGCTTTGCTGTATTTTCTAAAAGTTCTATAACAAATATATTGCACTTATAGCCAAAAATCTCCTGAAATAACAGTAACAGACAAGAATCACATTCCTGTCCTATTTCCAAAAGCACTTCAACACACTTGTATATTGGGCTCATACGAACTGTTTCAATAATAAAGGTAAATCAAATCTTCTGCATTATATCTCATTTAAAGAATGGACCCATTATGACCAGATCCGTTATAATACTCCAAAGTATATAATTGCTAGAAAAAGGCCTCTGTTCCTGTCCTGGTTCAAACCAAAAGGCAACCTCAGGCAAATTACCTTTCTCAATCTTTTCTCATCCATAAAAATGGCATAATAACAACCTAAGCTAGCCTATATGCTTCACCAGCCTTACTGGGAGAATTAAATGAGATAATGTATCTTTTAACAATCACAATGATTAGTCAAGTCCATAAAAATGTTAGATGATTAAAAAATACAGGAGACATTTAAAATGCTAGAATGAACATTCAAAGTTTTGTCTGACATTTCATTACAGAGTTCAGGACAACAAAAGAAGAAACTCAGAGTATATGTTTTATATTGGAAGCTCCCAGGAAATACAGCTGTCTTTGTCTCATATCCCCTTCGGTGATGAGAACAGTGCCTTAAAGAACATAGCAGGGGTATGAACAATAACTGAAGTATTGAACTGAAATAACTTATGACGTAAATCAAGAGAGCAGTAACAAACTATTCGCTATTAGGACTGAACAACCTAAGAAATTGTATGTATTTCTAGGAAAGCACCTGGATATCCATTTCTGTCTATATCCGTGGCTCCTTTCATTGAATAGCCAAAGCTTGGTGGCATGCTTCGAGCAGCCCACTTCCCTTCAAGGATTTGAGATGGTACTGCATTCAAGCCTGTTAATCTTCCATTGAAAATATAAACAATTCCTTTTTTATCTTCGCCCCCATAGGGAGCAGCAATGGCAATATCTGTGGGGAGGAAGGAAGGGAGGGGGTAGTTTGGAGAGAAACAAGAAGGAAGAGAAGGAGGAAGAGGAGGAAGGGAGAAGCAAAGGAGAGGAGGAGAACAAGGGCAGAGAGAGGGAAGTCTTAGTGTTACTATTTATATGGCAAAGATCTTAATGCAGTTATCTTCCTTTCAAAAGTTCCCCTTACAGCACTTTGCTTTTAGGGAAGACCTACATTAGTACCTGTTTTTGCCGACTGAAAAAAATCTGAAGAGCATTCGCTTTTACAAAGAAAAGCAAAACTAGCATTCAGCGTTTGTTTTACAATGAACCGTTCTAAGAGCTGCCTGCTCCCCAAGCAGCAGGAGGGGCACCATGAGCTCCTTCCCCGGGAACCACAGCCAACTTCTCAGCATCAAGCTGCCTGTAGCACTCAACGGTGCCTGTGAGCATCTATGCTTTATGTCAACTTATTCTTTGCATCCATTAGCAAGATGTGTCCTAAGGTATCACAAAACCCTGAGAGTGGTTACTTTTTGGGTCTGGGAAATCTGGGGGGTTTGGAAAAATTTTCCATATACATCACATTAATGGTAATTGCTTCTTCGCTTGAATACCACTTCTGCTAATGAAAGTTTTCATGGGAAGTCTCCGCTTTCGGACAGCAGGGCAAAACCTGCATTCATACAACCCACTTACCACAATAAATACTGCTTCAAAGTTTAGCAGAATACTCTTTATTCCAAAGCAACGATCTAATTCAAGGAGATTCAAGCAAAACTATGTCGAAATGACATTAACTTGGAGCCAGATATTCTGGGTATGACCTTGAACAAATCACTTAACCTTTCTGGACCTCAAAATACTTCATCCTTAAAATGGAAGGGAGGGGACATGTCAAAAGATTCATCTAAGGTTCATTCCAGCTCTCAAAGCTCTAATTTAGGTGGGCATGGTTTTTGTTTTTTGAAACTGCAGTCTGGCTCAGAAATTTGAAAGTTATGATTTCATCTCCATCTTGCTCAACTTATATTAAGATAACACAAGCAAATAAGAAGTTTGAAATTCTTCCAAAAAAGAAAAAAGAGAGAAAAATGGTCACTATAACCTTTTGAAACTCTGAAATACATGACAAATATGCTCACTTCCCTGTCTCTGCTGGTACTATCCTAGACAAGCCATTCTCATCCTTTCCCTGGAGCCCTAAAGCAGCCTGAGTGGCTCCCACTTCTGTTCTTGCCCCTAAAATCCACTCTCCTCAAAACGGCCAAAGGTTAATATGCCACCTTCGTTCTTAAAATCCTTCATTTCCCAAAGCATTTAAACACTACCTGATTTGTGTAGTCATTCCACCAGTGCTCCCCACCCTCCCCTACCATCCCAGTTCTAGCCCTCACTCACCCTTCCTATCAATCCTGACCTTTTCCTCTGTTCCTTAAACACACCAAGCTAGTACCCATGTTTGGATTTACACTTGCTGCTCCCTGTGCCTTAACAGCTCTTGCTCCAGGGCTTTTCAAGCTCTGCTCCTTCTGTTTATCCAAATCATAGATCAAATGTCATCGTATCAGAGAGGTTCTTTTTCCCTGACAACAAAGTCATGCACTCTCCCTTCTCACTTACACTGTCTAGGCACTATCACGTTAACCTGCCTTTTTTTTGTTTTAATCCACAGCCTTTATCACTATCTGAATTTCCCCCATTATGTATTTACTTTGTGGGTCTTCCATGAAACATAGGCTTCACAAGAGCAAGGATGTGTCCATCTTGCCTGTGACAGCCACTATGCTCCAGTCATTGCAAACTGCCTCAGTTATACCTTCCCATACACAAACTGCTTCCAGCCTCCTTGATGCTGCATCTCCTGAGACACCAGACACCTTGATCACTTATCTTTAATGTAAGAGCATTATGCCCAGCATTATCCCAAACACGGTGATGACTGCCTTCTAATGTTTACATAAAAGTTGCCCCTATTGATGCTAAATTCCTTAAGGACATGGATGGGCTCTAATTTATCCTGTCATTTTTAGCACTTGGAATAGGGCATGGCGTGCAGTAAGGACCAACTAAGAATTTGTTATTCTTCAAAAAAACAGTAGTATTTAAATTAAATAAGAGTCCTTCTTTTTTCTTTTTTAAGTTTCAAAGGTAGGCATAACTTCTAAATTGACACAGGCATTAAGAACGCATTTATCAAAGCACCTGGGTGGCTCAGTTGGTTGAGCGTCCGACTTTAGCTCAGGTCATGATCTCACGGCTTGTAAGTTCGAGCCCCGTGTTGGGCTCTGTGCTGACAACTCAGAGCCTGAAGCCTGCTTCGGATTCTGTGTCTCCCTCTCTCTCTGCCCCTCCCCACACATGCTCTGTTTCTGTCTCTCAAAAATAAGTAAACGTCAAAAAAATTTTTTTAAATATATATTTATCAAAATATAATTTCCCAACAGAAGACAACTCTAGTGTTGAAAAACCATTTAACAAAAATTATCTTTAACTTTCCTAAACTTCTCATTATTTTATATATCCTAATTATCTTCTTGTTTTCTTGGCTGGCATCTGTCCAGTCTGGAAAGCCCTACTTTTTCACACAACTGATTTCTTCCTTTAATCATTTTAGTTGCTCTTTTCTGTGTTTTCTTCCCCTCTTTCTGGAGGAGTATTGACAAAAACTGCACCTTATACATAACGTATACAAAACATAACTTCACTGTTTTGTTCTCAGTGTCCCTCTTAATGATACCTAAGGTTTTCATAGTGGGTGTAGGTAGAAATGGGGGAATATAGGATGAACAGTTTAACAAAGGGTTAATGTCATCAGGCTTACACAAAGAAAAGATCCAGGTTATAACTAACAGTTCATATTATATATATAAAATATAGATACATATAAACTGTAAGTATATATAAATAGTTGCATAAATACAGATCAGATCATTTTCCACTCAAGATACCATTATTCACAAGCCACTATTTGAGGCAATAAGACTCCAGGAGAAACTTGGGGAGAACAAAATCATCCTTTCTGGTATCCATTTCTAGAAGTAAAATCTGTTTGTCAAATCTCTGTAAAACTTCATTATTTTTTATCTGTTTATAATTATTGTATTCACTGGTAACACAGTTTGATAAAAATATAGAAAATGGAATGAGCTGTTGGCCAGATCATAATACTGAGGAAACTTCCTTTAAAGTGGCTGGAATACCCTTAAGACAAGGTGATGGCAAACATGCCAGGCTCTCCCCGAAACCCCAGAGACAGTGGCCCTGCTATAGCAAGGCAGAACCTCAAATTTGGCCCTGTGTTTTCTAAGTCATTTTGTTATCAGTAAGTAACAGCTTGCTCTGTTCTACAGTATTCCTTTCAAGTTCTATTTTAAACTTTATACCAGAGTTCCTTTGATTTAAGTTCTCTTGGTAGTACAAATCTTTAGGACTCTATTTTAGGCAGCAAGATGTTTCTGTGAACAGTTCTTACTAACACTGAAAACATCTAGAGCTAAGGTTAGAAATGACACTCCCAGTCATGACACAGAACTACCCATGAGGTAGGAGTAGAGTAGTCTTGAAGCCTAAAAGGGGTTTTCTTTTTCCACCACAACTTGGAAGATATAAAATTCAACTGTATTTTTGAAGTTTTCTCTTTAACTTATAACTTTAAATTTTAAGGGGCATATCCCTATATATGATCGATTATTCAAAAAACCAAAAGTTCAACTTTCTATTCTGAGAGTTTTGTACCAGTATTTCTTTTTTTAAGGGGCGCCTGAGTGGCTCAGTCAGTTAAGCGTCCAATTTCAGCTCAGGTCATGATCTCACGGTTTGTGAGTTTGAGCCCCATGTCGGGCTCTGGGCTGACAGCTCAGAGCCTGGAGCCTGCTTCAGATTCTGGGTCTCCCTCTGTCTGCCCCTCTGCTGCTTGCACTCTGTCTCTTGCATTGTCTCAAAAATAAATAAACATTAAAAAAAATTTTTTTTAAATCTTGATAATTTATAATCTATATTTTACTCTAAGTTAAAAGTCACTTTGATTTTTAAAGATATCTACAGATATTGGAGTGCCTGGATGGCTCAGTTGGTTAAGCAACCAACTCTTGATTTCAGCTCAGGTAATGATCTCACGGTTTGTGAGATAGAGCCTTATTTTGGGCTTGGAGCTGACGGCGTGGAGCCTGCTTGGGATTCTTTCTCCCTCTCCCTCTTCCCCTGTCCCATTCTCACACACGCCCATGTGCGCACATGTTCTCCCTCTATATATAAATAAACTTAAAAAAATAAAGAAATTATTAAATGGGACTATTATAAAACAACGAGCTTATATTTTTTACTTGCCCTCACGAAGGGAGTTATAACATCCTTCAGAACTCTCAGGACTTCTCAGATAGCCACAACAAAGTTATGGCTTTAAAAATATTAAAGGCAAATCGTACCTCTAAGGGATGCAATTAGAGTCAACATTGCCTTGACAATGTGCCTGGGTGCATTTTTTACATTTGTATCCAAATGGACAGTAGAGGGCACTGCTGCTAAGCAGGACAGAGACAACAAACCACCAGCTTACTCTGGGCTCCCTGGGAATGCAAATTTCCTTCAGAATTTAACCATTCCAAAATTCTAATTTGCGGCTGTATGAATAATAACTTATGAGAATAATTTTTTTTAAAGTTTGCTCAGATTTTTAAGGAAGAAGAGCAACTGTCGTTTAACCTGGAGTCACTATCAATCCAGTGCTTCCTTCCAGGAAGGAGGTTTGCTCGTATGAACAACCACAGAGGAAGGTACAAGACTTTTCCAGGTAGACACAGAAAATTATGGACCCACAATTACTGAACTTTGTTGATCTTACCATTGAAGCCATCCTGGTCCAGATCCCCCAAAGGTGCTATGGCACTGCCGAACCTCGCAAAGACCTCAAACCCATTCAGCTTGGTCGTCTGGAAGTCTCCTGAAGGTCTTTGCAGGGACACTGAAACCTGTCCCACCTCTTGGAGTTTGCCATCTGAGCCACGATCCATGAAGAGAGGGGCTCCAATAAACACATCTGCATAACTAAAAGAGCAGAACCTCTTTCACCAACGCAAGATCAAATTCCACCTGTTAATAAAAAACTCAATTTCCCTCTTTCCACATCTCTCATAACCAAACTGAAGCAAAAAATCATTTCAAATTCAAATCTTCCTTCAACTCTTTTAAGAAACTATGAGTAATTCATAAAAATTACTTTATTCCTTCATATCATAAAAGCTACTGAAAGAAATTATGAACATCATAGAGGTTTTCTCATATTCACGACAAACAGATTAGAAAGGGGACAGAGAAACAGAAGAAAAAATGTTTAATTTTGGCAAAGCATTCATAAACATGAGAGGAAAACTGTTTCTGGAAACATCTTTTTAAACTTACTCATCCCCATTAATGTCAGTGGCAGCGACAGAAAATCCAAAATATGCAGCCATCTGGATAACAAAAAGAAAATGAAATGGTTACATTTCATCCAACTAGCTTTGACAGTTAATATTTATTGTATATTTAATCAAACGGAAAAGGTTTTTATTTTTCTCTGCACATAGTTTCAATCTAAATTTCTTCTCTTTTGGGGGCACCTGGGGGGCTCAGTTGGTTAAGCGTCTGACTTTGGCTCAGGTCATGACCTCACAGTTTGTGAGTTTGAGCCCAGTGTCAGGCTCTGTGCTGACAGCTCAGAGCCTGGAGCCTGCCTCACATTCTGTGTCTCCCTCTCTCTCTGCCCCTCCTCTGCTCATGCGTGCACATGCACACACTCTCTCTCTCTCTCAAAAGTAAACATTAAAAAAAAATTAAAAAATAAATAAGTAAATAAATTTCTTCTGTTTTGTTTATTCTACCAACACAATCAGGTAATGAGGCATTTTTATTTCCCTAGATTTATAGGCAAAACATATCCCGTGTATATCATTTTGGTGTCTTCAACACATGTCACTTAAGTCTAAGGATAACTAACGCTCCTTCCCAGGCCTAACCTATTATCACCCTTCTTCTCCACTGCCCCAAAAATGTCATACATACACCATCAGAAAGATACATAGTCACAGACAGAAGTTTTAATTGAGCCCAAGAAGTTATCAGTGGGAGTCTATGCAGTAAAGATAACAGATAATAATTATTAATAGATCATAACTGGCTCTCCCTATGTGACCACTGCTACTCTCAAGAAATTACTGTTTAGAAAGATACTGGAATGACTTTGTTCTTGTCTCACATCTCATCTGATTACTTGCCAATAGCTTTGCTTTTGAGTTATACACAGTGCAACTAGTTTTGGGTTTATTACAGGATTATGTGAAGGGAGAAGGAATGTCCTTTCCTCCACTACAGAAGACTGCTAGACATCACAGACAGAGCAGACTGGCTGGAAATAAACCTGAAAAGAAAAGTTCTAAACACAGCCCAACATGCAAAGCAAAACTAGGAGAGATGACATTTTAAAGATGAACTAAGGTGAGGAATGAGTCAACAAACCACAGACAGGAAAGTTAGCAAAAGCTTCCAAATTTTGACTGGTGGAGATATCAGGAAGGAATGATATGGGAGATTCCTGCATCATCTATTTTGGGTTGACAGAGTATAAGTGAAGAAAATGAAAGGTGCAGTCTGTATCCAATTGCAAGACCAGAGGATGTGTAATAAAATGTATTGTATTTACAGTGCAATTTAAGAGAATACTATTTTGGGGTCTTAACCTTGCAAGGCGTTCGGCCTGAAAGTGTAAAGAAAGGGCATTTACTTAGACAAGTTTTTTCCTGGGCACTAGGATTAAAATGTTTTCATTCGATTTGTTACTACAACCCCATAAGAAAGTTACCAGTACCACTATTTTTACAAATGACCCACCAGATTTACAGTGGCATATACCTTGTCCAATGCAGTTAAGACTGAGAATGAAGAGCCCAGGTCTGTCCTAAAGCAAAGCCCATGTTCCTCCCACCCACAGCAATAAAGAAAGCATCATGGACTGCGTACGTGATCCAGAGACATACACAGGCATCTGACAGGAGAAGGTGCTTGAGGTCAAGAAGTCAAAACCTCACAAAGGGATAACCACCCCCTGCCACGACTCTAACGGGTTGTCAACTGCGGGCCGTTTGTTCCGTGCTGTGAATCAACACTGACCGCTACACGTGGGATGAGGTTTCTGGGGGCTGAACGTCTACTTCCTCATCCTATCAATCCTCTGGCAAAGCCCAAAAATCTCTACTGAATAAGAAGTGGGCTTGAATCCCAGATCTGCCACCTGGGATATAATTATTTTTTCTGTAGCTACTGATTTTTCCTTTGCCATTACTAACTGGCCATTTAATTCTCTGAGATATACGAAACAAAATGTTATAAAATGCCTGTACCTGCAGAGAATGTCTAGTGCCTAATAGTACTACTTTTTAACTGAAGAATGTTTTATCTCTTGAACTACAAATGAAGTTTACTGATGACATCTATAATATACACATCTGTGCCATGCTTCGTTTTGCATCGAAAAAAAAAAAAAATGAAAGGGCATAGATCATTCCTTAAAGGAGAATTTAATGTCATCAGCAAAGAAAAAAGGAAGTTTTTGTGGTTTTGTGTTTTTGACATGTATGTGTGCAGTTTGTGGATTTCCTTAAAAAACAAGCCATCATGTGCAATTACAAAAGGCTTTGTTTACACAAATTACTCTGCTTGAAACAAAGGTGAATTCTTTAAAGCCTATTTACATTTATAACATTGAATATTAAACCAATATTCATTACATATTCAACGTAAACCATTATGATACTTACAAGAAAAGTTTTAAGACATTGTTACAAAATGCTGATGTGGGGGAAAAAAAAAACCATTTTAAAAGCATACCTGCTCACCAGTAAAATTGTGTAAGGAGGACATGTTTTTCCCATCATAAATATAAACCTGTGGAGGAAAAACAAAAGCATATGAAATATAATAAAATATAAGATAACCCAGAGATTTTTTAGATTCCTTTTAATTTTCCTACCATTCCCAAAGTCCTTGCTGCTCTTGGAACGCCTGAAACAAAGTCTGAAACAAAACAAAACAAAATAAAACATAATAACTCATATTCAAGACCAATACTGAAAACTGTAGGAGGAAATGGATATCTCGGAAAGCTTTAAGTTCTGTTTTGTTATTTCAGTAGAAAACAACAACAACAAAAATTCTTTAATGGTACTCCATAATAAATGACCATAGTATTTTTTAACAAGATCAAATCCTTACAAAATACAGAAAGATTCTTGAGAACTCTCAAAGAAATGCATGTGTGCCCTCAGGAATTTGTAATCTTATTAAAAAGAGAACAGCTAAGATCAAGTGACCTAAGAACAAAGGAAAGGCAGTGACACCGAAATGTGGTCAAAATCAGGTGAAGTCTGTGATTCATAAATTGAGCTCTGAAGGGAGATGGATGGACAGACAGAGGATGAGGTAACAATCTTACATACAGAGCCCAGAAAGTTACAAGTTATGTCTACAAGAAGAAGGAACTAAGACCCTCCAAGAGGACCAAATCCGCTGAAAAGCAAGAAGGAAGGAGCTGAAGAAAAACTGAACCGCCAAGGGCGGGAAAGGAGTGGATGGGGGAAAACAAAGGGGCACTCAGCAACTGGCTGGTTCAACTTTCAGCAGCTGCAGATAAAGTTTAATGTAGACCAACCTTACATCAATGTACTAACATCTCCCCATTTCTGTTACATTCTATAACAATGGTTTCAAAACCCTTTAACTGCTGAGGTTTTGCAATGTTACCTGTTTTGAATGTTTAGTCTATATTTTTTAAGAAGGGGTAAATATAATTCAAGTGTATCATACCATCGATGCCATCACCATTGAAATCTCCGACAGCCACGGAATAACCTGAATAGGAAGAACAAAATGTGAAACTCCATCAAGGCACAGTCACCTACGGCATACTTGCTGAATAGGCTTCCCTTGAAAATATTTTCAAAAAGGATTGACCCTTGAACAATGGGTTTGAGCTACACAGGTATACTAATACACAGGCTTCTTTCAATAAATATAGTGCAGTACTGTAAATGTATATTCTCTTCCTTATGGTTTTCTTAACATTTTCTTTTCTCTAGCTTACTTTGTTGTAAGAATACAGTATATAATACACATGACATACAAAATATGTCTTAATTCACTATGTCATTACTAAGGCTTCCAGTCAACAGTAGGCTATTAGATTTTGGGGGAGTCAAAAGTTATATGTGGGGCTCGTGAGTGGCTCAGTTGGTTAAGCGTCTGACTCTTGGTTTCGGCTCAGGTCATGATCTCATGATTTGTGAGATCAAGCTCCACATCAAGCTCTGTGCTGACAACACGGAGCCTGCTTGGGATTCTCTCCTCCCCCGCCCCACGCTCCTCCCTTGCTTGGTCTCACTCTCAAAATAAATAAATACATAAACATTTTTTAAAAAGTTACATGCAGATTGTCGACTGTGCAAGGGATTGGTGCACCTAAGTCATACACTGCTCAAGGGTCAACACAATTCCTTTAGTTATGCAGTATTTTGTTCTCTAGAGGTAACAGATGCATATGTACATGCTAAATGAATCTAAAGGAAACAGTTACACCCTAAAATAGTATTTTTCTATTAGAAAAATAAGACGTTAATCAACTTCACAAAGGAGTCAGTTAAAAATGGTAAATTTCTCATAGATACAGAGTACAGATTGGAGGTTAGCAGAGGCAGGGGATAAAAGGTGGGCAAAATGCATGAAGGTGGTCAAAAGGTACAAACGTGCACTTATAAATAAGTCATGTGATATAACATAGAGGATGGTGAGTAACTAATACAACTATGTTGTATATTGAAAGAGTAGAATTTAAACATTCCCAGTACAAGAAAAACATCTGTAGCTGTGTGTGATAATGAATATTAACTACACTTATTGTGAGCATCATTTCACAGTATATAAAAATATCAAATCATTATGTTGTATACCTAAAAGTAATATAATATTACAAGTCAACTGTATCTCAATTTTAGAAAAACAGGGTAAATCTGTAATTTATCTTAAAGGAGCAAAAAATAACATATTTTTTTCAATCAGCAAAGTACTACTGCTGTCCTAAGTCCTTGGTTTAAAGAGTAAGAGAAACCTAAAGGGAGAAAACAAAACTCAATAAACTTTAAAGACCAAAGTTTAACACAGTGAATAACACAGAGAATAGAAGTTTAGGAGTCAGACTGCCTGGGTTTGAATATTAGAACAGCAAGTTACTAAGTGAGTGACTTCAGGCAAGTTATTTTGCCTTTTTGTGCCTGAATTTCTTTACCTACAAAATAGGGATAATAGCAGTACACTGTCACAGACCTGTTGTAAGGATTAAATAAATTAATACAGATAAAGCATACTTAGAACAATGCCTAGAATACATAAGCATACTTTAAAAGTTATCTATTACTATTAATTGTTGTATAAGTAATCACTCCTAAATTTCAACTACTGAAATATAACATAACCTAAGTATTCATTAACAATTTGAAGTTATGTTCCTGTTCCTTATATTTAAAAAAAATTCAACATAAAAGATTGTCCTGCTTAAAGCGGCATATGCAAATACAGGGCAAATACACTGCAACTCCATATAATGAATCCATATTTTGGTTTTACTTACCCAAGTAACTGTCATCAAAAATAGCTTGAGCAGTCCGAGTTGCCAACTGGTTATTATATTGGATGCTGTAAACTTTGGGGTCATATTTAGATACAATTTCTGCCACTTGATCCGAAATGAGCTGACCTGAAAAATATATATATAATAACTTTCTAATGGGAATTTATGATGCAGATGATGGATGGTACCAGCACAAGAGTAAATAGCATTCAAGGGGTGCCCAGCTGGCTCAGTCGGTGGAGCATGTGACCCTTGGTCTCAGGGTCGTGAGTTTGAGCCCCACACTGGGTGTAGAGATTACTTAAATATACAATCTTTAAAAAAAGAGAGATTGGTATTTCTAATTATTAGCCTTAAATAACTCTTCATAATGCTCAATCTGAAAGTTGATGTTCTGTTCAAGCTAGTTCTTAAAATTAGTCACTGCTAGGAGTGCCTGGGTGGCTCAGTGGGTTAAGCATCCAACTTCAGTTCAGGTCATAATCTCAAGGTCTGAGAGTTCAAGCTCAGCGTCAGGCTCTATGCTGACAGCTCAGAACTCGGAGCCTCCTTCAGATTCTGTCTCCCTTTCTCTGCCCCTCCCCCACTCACCCTCTGTCTCTCTCTCTCAAAATTAAATAAACATTAAAAAAATGTTTAAAAAAAGAGTTTGAAAATCTACTGAAATAATTACCTTTACTGTTATAAGAAGAATGAATCGATTGTTTTTTTCCACAAATTATTTGGATACCTTTATGAAGAGGCCTGAATGGGTGAGTTCACTTTTCTTCACAACCTTAAGGTAGCCAAGAAATCTAAAGCACTACACAAAAATCAGATTGTTCCCGACCCCAAGAAAAGTTGGCTGACTTATCAAAATGCCATCTCCATACATGAAGAACATAATCTCCTCATTTCTGCTGTTTCAGAAGAAAACCTCATAGCCAACATTTATCAGTCTGTTCCAATCTGTCCAGTCACAAAGGTTTACTTTAAAGGTAGAAACACTTTCTGTTTGGGTCAATAATTTATCCTCTGTGCCTAAACAGACCTAACACATAGCAGGAATTCAACAAATATTTCTTGAATCAAAGAACACAGGAAAATTCTATCATCTCTTTTGAGTAAAACATTACAATTTTCTCTATTCGTATAGAGATAATTCTGAGATCTGTGGAAAAATTCATTCTGACATACCTATTAATTCAGGGTAAAACTCGATGATTTTAATCTCATTAGAACAAAATATTCTCTGCCCAGCTACTGAGTCTTTCAGTTACATTTCCTAGACCATTTACTAATAAAACTCAAATCAACATGGTATTGATTGTATCTGTCCTAATTTTTAAATAGGAATGAATACAGACACTGTATAATACTCAAGGTATTAAAAAAACTCATCATTTAAACATGTTCACAGCTGTGTCTCTTAAAAAGGCAGAGATAACTATCAGTCCTGACTGAGAATTGCAAAATCAGTCTTTGGTTCCCAGGCATCCCAGCAGACACTTCCCTCCCCTCCACCGAATTACATAACTAGCAATGGAGAAGAAAAACAATTCCATGTTTTTTCTCTTACTAGAAAGTATTAACCTCATATGCGATTAGAATTATTTTTGTGTTCATTTTAAAACTTGAAAACTCTGTTTTAATCTCATATGCGATTAGAATTATTTTTGTGTTCATTTTAAAACTCGAAAACTCTGTTTTAATCTCATATGCAATTAGAATTATTTTTGTGTTCATTTTAAACCTCTAAAACTCAATTAGAATCTTCCTAAATCATTTCATTTTTCAATAAATGTATATAGTTCACAGGAATCCAAATTCTTTCATTTAGTGTGTCTCACATGCTGATTCATCTTTCCCTGATTTTTCTCTTTTCTTCATTCCCTCCTTTGGCATCCCTTTCAACTTTTCATTTATTTCTATTTCTCATTCCTTCTTATTGTTTTTCTATCCTATTTTCCCCTTCAGTAAATTTCTTTCTTGAGTTTCCCTTTCTGTGAAACAAAAGCAAGTGTGGGTTTTCCTATGGAAAAGCAAGTAAGGAAAGCACAGTGTAGAATACAGAAGTAAAATTCAGAATTAGAAAGTAACTTGCACATCCATACAGTCACAGGTTTTTCCAGTTCTTCCAAATACTGATAATGCTTAAATGTCAGAATGCCAAGAAACAAAAGTTCTGGCTCTGTGAATAGCATTTATTAGCAGAAAACAAACGTGAATAAATTAAATATATAATTGTGTGTATATAATCATAAATGAAACATAAAGCAAGTAAACAAATTTAGGTACCTGTTTTCAAACTTTCAGCAAATAATGATGTTATGCATTTGTTCAAACAGTAATTTTATTGGGCCTCCCAGAATGACTGAAGAATGCAGTGTTTTATCTTTATTTTGACACATTCTTTTGAAACTTCCTAAGACCCACTATTTTAAAAGCTCCCCAAAACGAAGAAGTCATTCATGATGTCAATGGTTAATGAGAAAATAACTATTTAAATATTCTAATGAACAAATTGAAAATACTTTAAAACCATGAGCTTTCAGAATACCACAATTTGCCTGCATAGATCAGTTCCACACACTTCCTAATGTTTACACTATAGACTCTAGAGTAGAGACAAGAAAGCATGTATCACAAACAATAAAAATAAATTGTTTTAAATTACTTTGTAGATTTACATAATAATTTACTTTAAAAATATTGTTTACTTTCTACTAAAAATATATATAATATATATTATGTATTATAATATGCCACAAATTTTCTATATATTATATTATATATAGGATGTTACAGTGCTTTTTTAAAAAAAAATACTGTGAAACAGATAGCAATTACGCATTTAAATTGTATTTCTCAATTTCTTTCTTTAAAATAATTCAAAAAGTTGTATAGGCACATGGTAAGCCAAGCAAGCATTAAACACAATCATTACTGAGTAATTTAAAAAATATTATCCTAGGGGTGCTTGGGTGGCTCAGTCGACTAAGCATATGACTCTTCACTACTGATTTCTGCTCAGGTCATGATCTCATGGTTAGTGAGATCGAGTCCCATGTAGGGCTCTGCACTGACCATATGGAGCCTGCTTGGGATGTTCTCTCTCCTCTCTCTCTGCCCCTCTCCCTACTCATGCTCGCTCCCTCTCTCTCTCTCTCTTTCTTTCTCTCTCTCTCTCTCTCTCTCTCCCTCTCTCTCTCTCAAAATAAATAAATAACTTTAAAAAAATATATCAACCTACCTTGCCAATAAAAGCTACCAGGACCACCAAGAAGTACTCTGTCAGCCTAGATTAAATCAAACAACAAAAAAATACATATTTAAAAATAGGTAGATTTAAAAACTGAAAGCAATGTAATACCCACAAAAGCCATATATATATATGATATTTAATACACATAAAAGCTATATAAACATATAACAAAATCACAAATCTCAAACTCTCCTGACTCATTTTCAGTAAATTTTCATTGTACTTTTCTAAAATACAATAAAAATGTTTTAAAAGTTATGACTATTAATATATGAAAATATACAAATATATACACACATTGATTCTATAGATCTGGCTGGTTCGCAACTTGTTAGCAAGTACTACTATAAAATAATTTTGAGTTATAGTAGAACAAAAAGTCATTAATTTTGTATATTACATTTGTGACTATATAGACAAATTTTCTTTCTAGTAATCATTAAAATTTTTTTGGCTAGAAATGCCTCGGGAAGCTCAGTCAAGTATGTGACGCTTGGTTTTGGCTCAGGTCATGATCCCAGGGTTGTGGGATCGAACACCATGTTGGGCTCTGTGCTGGGCATGGAGCCTGCTTGGGATTCTCAATCTCTCTCTCTCTCTCTCTCTCTTCCTCTGCCCTCCCCTGCTCACAAACTCTCTCTCTCTAAAATAAAATTAAAAAAAAAATTTTTTAATGCTTTGAGAGCACCTGAGTGGCTCAGTCAGTTAGGCATCTGACTCTTGATTTCGGCTCAGGTCATGATCTCACAGTTCATGAGTTCGAGCCTTGCATCCAGCTCCGTGCTGACAGTGTGGACCCTGCTTGGGATTCTCTCTCTCTCACTCTCCCTCTGCCCCTTCTCCACTTGTGCTCTTTCTCTCAAAATAAATAAACTTAAAAAAAATAAAAATAAATAAAAGAGAAATTTTTTTAATTCGTTGGCTAATGAAAAATTATTTTTAGTGTCTTGCAGATCTAAACAGGAATGAAGTTAGAAGGTAAATTTTTCAGGGTATATAATATATACAATTTACACTTGACTAGCATTTCTTGTATCTGTAACCAACTATAAGTATCTAATTCAAGATAACTGTATTTAGTGTTTGAGCATAATGTTTTGGACATTTCTTCCCCCCTGGAGACAAAAAACGTAATTCTTCCCCTCCAAACATACATATAGCCCTTTCAAGCTTTCAACAGACAATTTCCTGTCCTGGTTATGTAAAAGGTACTTCTAAGTTGTCTGCTGTAAAATGACACCTTTTTTCCAGAAATGAGTTAAAGAAAGTAAATAACTAATTTAGTAGTGAATGGTTGCTATATGAGAATATTTCTGGGGTTATAGTTACATAGGCATAGGTACAGAAAACATAGGGACTTTTTAAAATATAACACCTCTTTGAAAATATATCATGGAAGTTTAACCTAATATTATTAATATACTTTACCTCTCTTTGTTTTGCTTCCTCAAATTTTGAATTATGAGTAATTATGAGTAAATTTTGAATTATGAGTTTCAAATTGAATGACTTAAATCAATTATGTAATAAGGAAAGTTAACTACAATTATAGTCCCAGTCTAGAAAAAAATTTTTTTAAATAAAGATAAAATATAAATTAAAAAAAACAAGAAAATGCTTTATTAATTTTCTGAATTACATGATTATAGTTTATATCATTTTAGTAAATTTATGGCATTTGTTGCTCATACTTTCTAAGAAAGCCATATTAAGCTTTCTAAGGAAGCTCTATTTTTAATTAATATATTTGAGATTTCTATCTCAAATAGAGAAATTAATATTCTCAATTTGATATTCAATATTTTCACATATCTCACCAAAAAAATCCCCACATACACAAAAGAAAATGACATAAGGAAAAGTATTTAAGAAAAATTTCCTTTGAAAACATAAACTGAATTGTTATTTCAGGAAAACAGATAAAAACTGTCAACTCTGGAGAGCATGCTCGCTGAGTTAAAAATACAGAGTCACGCATCTGAGATGTTTCACAATAATTAAGCTGCTTCAGCTTTACTTGGTGCCTGTAGGCACATAATAGATGGCAAGCATGCATGTTTCTGAGCTTTTATGTAACTAAACTCTAATTCTGTAATCAAGCTCCCAGTGACAGCTTTTGTGAATTTCAATCAAAAAGACAAAACTTTAGTACTATATAAATTTATCTAATTAGAAATTTTAATATAAAGTCATAATAGTTATCTGTCATCTACTGAGATCTTTTGGTGTCCCCCACTCTCATTTTGATGTCTATTTCAAATAGGCAACGTCCACTAGGGAGAGAATATGAGCCAAAGAATATCAAAATGCATGGGACATTTTTATTAGGTGTTTTCATAGAACAGGTAATAATTATAAAGAAGCTGAAGTATTGAGCAAGTAATTTTTAACAATGGTTTAGATAATGAGGTAGATCTGAATCTCATTCAGTCTTAAATGAGAACTTACTTTGGTAAAATCAATGCTGAATCCTCCTTGACAAAATCCCTGTCCATCAGCATCAATATTTTCTAAAATAAAAAGATTGGAAATATACACAAACCCAAAAACAAACAAATGACATAAAACAAAACATGAGAAAAATCTGTATCACTGTAATCATAAGATAATGTATTGTTGAACTGGGAGTGTTCATTCAATGTGGCATTTAATGAGTTATTATCACACTCTAAAAAAGTTACTATGCATTTTTACCAGCACCATTCTCTCAGATAATGGCAATAGAGAGAGATCAATGTATCTGGAATGGTCACCAGGAAATAGAAACATCACCTAAGATGGTAGATTTCAAACTTATTTTTAACCATAACCCACAGCAAGACTATATTTTATATCACAGTCCATATAACCCAACATGTATGTTATTGTATGTGTGTATAACACATACATGAATAAGACAAAATTTCACGAAACTATCACTATTACCATGGACAATATATTCTGATACTTTCTATTTTATTTGACTCCTTTTAAAAAAGAACTACTGGTTATGATCCACTATTCTGATTTCATGAAACAAAGATGAGTTGTGATCTACAAGTAAAATTCCAGTTTGAATTTGAAATTCCAGTTAGCACTCTACAAATTTATTATGAATACCAGTAAAGAGATACATGCACTCCTAATACATACTGACTACACACACATTTTACAGCCAACAACAACAACAACAACAACAACAACAAATCTATTAAAAACGTACTTCAGGATTTTGGGAGAGGGCCAGACCCTAACTTAATATTCAGCAAAGAGCGAAATACAAAACTATCTTCACAACATATTTAGAACTGCAGTCTAATGAAAGTGAACATCTTTAAACACGACACTGATTATTTTCCAAATGATAACAGACTCAACAGTTTGACTCTTTTGTAGTTACCCTTTATTTTGTAGTTCTCACAAGGGGACAATTTCTGGACAAGCAGCCAGTTCATTTAGATTAACCCTAATCATGAGTAAAACTGGACCTAGAACACAGGTAAGGATGAATCTGAAGGCTCTCCCTTGTTTTATTTCGAGGATAACAAGGAACAATAAAAATACTACTCTTTAGTTATCAAGCATTTCCTATAGACAATTACAATATATAAGTAATTATGCTTTCGTATTACTAAACTTGCCACCCAAACACAGGAACCAAAAATATCTATTTTCGGTATAACTGAAAGGACAATTTCCAAATATTCCCATCAAAATTTTTGAACCCATTTTAAAACCTGGGAACTGCCCCAAGATTACACACTTAATAACTAAATTTAGAAGTTGTTTTATTAAAGGCCTCAAGAGTGTAATGCTGCCCCAATGTGAATTTTTTTTAACAGGAGGGAATGGGAGAATGTGGGGCTGGGGTTTCCAGTGTCTAGTGAATCATACTGAGGAAGTCTGCTCCGACCTCAAGTTGGCTCTTTATTTCCTTTCTTCAAGTTGTATTTAGGGAACTATTTCAGGCTATTTTTAGAGACATCCCTTTTTGATTATCATACTGTACAGTTATCTCCTTTATTTGGTTTCTCAGAACATCCCAGCAAGAAAACATGACTGTCCTTTAAAATTTTATTAACAGGTACATATTAAACTGAATGTTTATGACAATGTGAAGAATTTTATGTTAACTACAACTATTTCCGTGAAGGCTTTTGTTTTTATTTCTACAGATGAATAATATTTCTCCCATTCATCAAGCCTGACAGCATTATAAATAATATTACTGATTATGATAGTAAGAGCAGTTAATGTTCACAAAGCCCCTTCTGTGAGCCAGGTACTGTATGAAAGCATTTTCCAAGGTATGATCATTTAAATCTTACAGCAATCCTATGAGAGATACTAGTATTATTCACAATTTACAGATAAGGAAACTAAGCCTTACAGAAACTTAAGGAACTTGACCACAGTCAACCAGCTAGTAAATAAGAAAGCAAGGATCTGAACCCAGGTGTGTCCACACCACTAAACTGCACTATCTCAAATCAGCAATGTGCTTGTAATTTCCTGAGTTAACAATCAAGGGGAAAGAAAAGCCAGCTCATTATCATTACTGAGAAAAATCTATGTACAAATGTCATCAGAAAGCGGAAGGAACAAAGGACTCAGTCTGATCACGGAATTAAGAACATGTAAGTTAAATGATTTGTGGGTCAGGCACTTTTAGAACAGAAAGTCATCTGGCCTATTGTGTAAAGCCATTAGGTCACAGATAGTTATGAAAAGCCAAAAGCAAACATAATCAGGAACAAGGAAAATTTTTCACAGACAATGAAGTTTCATGTCCAGCGTGCACACACAGGTCATGTTGAAAACAAAAGCAAACAAACAACCCCCCACAAACTACCACTACCAAAACAAGCAAAGTTATCAAGAAGTTAGCAACTTAGCCCTTCAAAACTGGCACCTCCATGCAAAATCAATCATTGGTTGAACAATCTATGGAAGCATGAAGAAGATACAAAATACAAAAACTCTATCTCTGAAGTCTTTTAACCAAATCAGTGTTTTACTAATAGTGAAAACAAAGGCCCAGAGTGGTTAAGTGTACCACCAATAGCTATCGCCAGGTTGCTGACAAAATGCTAGAATAAACCCAGGTTCTCAGATTCCCACTCCTGAGCATTTCTTCACCTCTGGTCAAGTTGCTCTTCGTAATTTGGGTCTGTACATAGCTTCATATTTCAAAGTTTGAGCCAAAAAACATGTGCAGTGATCAATGGATACTGAAAGCTAGATTTATTAGGATGAAAGGCACTCACTTTGATGTTTTGAGGTTATTCTTTTGCTTTTTCTAAGATTTTAGGTTTTATTATTTGATTAACGATCAGCAAACTTTCTGTGAAGGACCATATGCAAATATTTCAGACTTAGGGGCCAGCCAGTCTCTGTGGCAACTATTTAACTCTCCCTTTATAAACAACATGTAAACAAATGGGTGTGGCTGCTTTCCAATAAAATTTTATTTACAAAAAGAGGCTCACAAGCCAGTTTGCTGACCTGATTTGGATGTTAAATAATTTAGAAAATAAGGGTTAAAATGAGTTTATAATTTTTGTGCCTATATTTACAATTTCTGTGCCTAAACCAAATAAGCAAAAGCATTATGTAACAGATACATCATGCAAATACTGCCTTCATCCTTTAAATACATGTTGAGAAAAAAAAAATGGTCATTACAGAAAAGGCAAAATGAAAAAACAACACTAGCCTAATCTAACAGTATATCCACATGAATGGATCATTTCTAGAATGCTTGCTTTCAGAAGGGTACCAAGTATTTCACACACCCAGAATTATCCAAACCTGTATTCATGAAAGCACAATGTATTCTTTAAGGAAAAGCTGTGGTTAACACTGAGGCAATTGAAATGGAAAACATATTCCATTGTTAGTATTTACAAGGGAAGGGCTCCTTTGGAATAAGACAGAACTGGGTTTAAGTCCTCATTAGATCACTCACTACTAAAAGATGTAGGAAAAAATTACTTCCAACAATCTGAATCTCAGTTCCCACATCTATCATGTGAGAATAGGGTGATTTTTACCTTTATGTCCATCACATAAATGGTAAGTTACAAACCTGGCGGGCAAGAGTTAGCTCATTCCTCCTAGCTATAAAATTACCGTCTCACAGTAGCAACATTTTCACAATACAGAAATTGCAAACACAAATGGAATCCTCACATTTTCCGCATACCAAAAAGACGACAGGACTCCAACCCAAACAGCAACATAAAGGTGGTGATACAGATGGCATCAAACACGGAATAGAAACCTGCCAGCCTCCTCTGTCCTGTGATGCAGTGTGCTTTTTGACCAATCCAAATAAACAAGCACTTGTAGGGAGGTATCATTCTTTTGATGTTGACTTCTCACAACATGCAGGGTCAAGTCGGTGGGTGCAGAAATAAGCATTAATAAAACCGTCTGCAGCTTCTTGGAAGTTCAACTGCTTAAAATTTTAAGGACTGAACAGTTCCTTTGGCCTGGTGTCCCAAGTCACCTAACACGGATGAAAAGAATCTAGCAGGTAACAGTCTTACATGTTCTACTTCTGTTCCTGATTCTCTCTACTAAACTATCTGGTGACCAATGGAACATAAAAAAAGAAACAGTCTAAAAAGTGCTCTGGATATAAATACCATAAGGCACTTCAGTAAGCTATTTTTACATTGCTTGTATAAAGAGGATCTAGAGTGGTGGCCACTGAACAAAGACGGGAAGGCAAAAGAACTGGAATCTCCTTTGGAAAAGCACGATCAAAATTGTAAGGACTCAAAATCACCTTTAGTCACCACATGAATTCCATTTGAAATTTCAAACAGTGTTAGACAACAAAGTGAGATCTTTTGGATCATCAAAAGAAGAGTAAGGCTGATAACAGACTGACAAAGAAACTGACTTAAGAGGAGTGCCTGGCTGGCTCGGTTGGTGGAGTGTGTGACTCTTGATTTCAAGGCTGTGAGTTCAAGCCTCATGTTGGGTGTGGAGATTACTTAAAAATAAAATCTTGAAACAAAAATTTTTTAATTAAAAGAATAATAAAAGGAGGCAAATTCAGACTCAGAGTCCTGAGCTGAATGTTTTTACCTTCCTATATAAACTCTGGCTCTTTAAGACATATATATGGGGGCGCCTGGGTGGCGCAGTTGGTTAAGCGTCCGGCTTCAGCCAGGTCACGATCTCGCAGTCCGTGAGTTCGAGCCCCGCGTCAGGCTATGGGCTGATGGCTCGGAGCCTGGAGCCTGTTTCCGATTCTGTGTCTCCCTCTCTCTCTGCCCCTCCCCCGTTCATGCTCTGTCTCTCTCTGTCCCAAAAATAAATAAAAACGTTTAAAAAAAAAAATTTAAAAAA